GACAGACTGCGAGGGAATCCGAAATCCTGGCTCCGCACTGCTCACTCGAGCGATTCGGGGATTTCCAGCCCCATATCACTCACGTTGATACGTATTCCTCAAGCCCTCCTGCTATGAATTCGCATCCAAGACGAGCAATGAGTCAAGCTTCTAGCCTGGAGGTCACGGGACCAGTAACCTTTCTCAATGAGCGCAGCATGCCTTCGAGCTCCAAGGTTCTGATTATAAGTGAAAATGTCCTGAGCTCGTCTCCATGGAGCCCGATTCACGTTTCGCACGCGGCGAAGCGTGAGCCACATTCCGGTCGAGATTGCGAGTTGACGTCCTCAATGCTCTAACTCAGAGGCCAGGCGGAAGGCCATCGTCAGTAAGCGCAGCGGATGAGAGATCTCTCCAGACTCTATTCGGCTCATGGAACTCTTCAATGAATCTGATCGTCGACACTCGCATGTCCCATTCGCAGGGTATCGCGGTGCCGCGCAATCCGAGGAAGGACTGACGAAGATAAGCATATCGGCTTCTAGGCGCGAGAGCTCATTGTCTCACCCTTCCCGGGCCCTCGATCATGTTTCCGATTATGGTCCGACGAGTATATTTCACGCGAGTCATGGCCGCTGCTGGGGAGGGAATATACTCATCCCCCATGACTCCGAATGAGCTCCGTTTTGCTCTAGAGGAAGATTGCGGAACTCGAGGAAATGAAGCAGGAACTGCAGGGCAAATTCCCCCATTTTTTTTCGATGTCCCCGTTCTTCCACAAGATTCCCCGGATGCGATCAATCTCCGTCGCCAGGAAGAGTCACCGAGCTTAGCACTTCACGTTATCCTCATGCAGCACGCGGAGGAACCATGGAATTCGTCCATCGATTCATCACATACTTGGCTCGGGATCCTAGTCCGCATCACTGCCCAGAAAGAGACGATATCCCAGGGTACACTCAATCAAGCAGTTCGACGAGCTTATCCGCGCGGGTATCCGTGATGGACCAGCCTCTATCAGTCGACGACACGTCCAGCCTTGCAGCGTGCGAAGAATGAATGGACATCTCTCGGGACTCCTGAATCAGACTCATTCGGCAGCTCAATACTCAAGGCTGCGATCCCTGTGCCGAGAAGCTGATGTTGGCGTGCCAGCAGCATCTTCGATGCCCTGGAAGAAGGATGTTAAACTCTTGCTCGTGCGGTTCCGCTCATCCTGAGATTTAAAACCAAAAGATAAAACAATGCGAGCTGCTTTAGCGACTCCGCACTCGCGACTTCACTCCTTCGGAAGTCTCGCCTGAATCACGGACCTGCCGATTCATGCTTGTGCTCCGAATTCCTCAGGTCATTCCCCTGATGATCTCTAGTCGGGGAAGCCTAAAGCGGCACCGTGTACGTCTGCGTTAGTTTCCAATTTCGCGGTGGACAAGATTCTGGCGTCGGATTCCCGCTGGAGGAGCACTGCCAAGTCCCCGTACTCTGCGGGAGTGCACTCAGCGATTTACTTCCAATCGATGAATAACGGAAAACCTTCGACCCTCATCCATCCCGTGGATCTGTTTCTTATTCCATCGGCAGCTCAGGAACTCGGCCTATAGGACGATTTCTCATTTACCCAATTCAGTAGTGGAATGACCCCCGTGCCGATATCTCTGATTTCCCTTTATATCCCCTATACCCCCTCTATCATATGCCCCTATGCTCTCGTCGAAGGTATATTTCCCGGGGAATGAGGGAGACCCACGAGGCGAAACCGCGGGCGAACGAGAGATGAGATTCCTTCTGATCCCTAGGGAGTTAGCAATCTGGCTTCGTGCGTGCACTCCCCGTCGCAACGTCTCTGTGTCAAGAACTTTGCTGGTGAGAAGAGTTTATTATGCACACGTCGCGCGAAGCATCGTCTCGGAATGCTTCCGGCGACAAGTGTTTGATTGCGTCCGCTTCGAGCGTGCCCTCGCTCCCGCCGGTCTGCCAATCGTGCCGCCTCTCCGCTCTCTATCTCCTCCGCAAATCCACGGTGTGTTCTAATCCTTTGCGCGCGCCCTTCCCGACCCGCGTCGTCTGCTTGGGCTCTCCGACTAGCAGCAGCACCATCCATCAAGTTCTCTCGAGGATCTTGCTCCCTCGCGACGGCAGGGCGGCGGCAGGGCGCGCATTTCTCCGCGCGTGTGTCGGCAAAAGAGGACGTATAGTGAAGGCGAATAAGGTGGCGAGGGCTGCCGTCAGAGACCTCGGCGCGCGCGCGCGCGGAAGAGCCGGCGGTGGGGAGAGGTCTACGTGGTGTTCACCGCCTCTTCTCTGGATGCCGTCATCTTTGTTGTCACGGAAGTGTTCGCCTCCGTGTTCCCCCTCTATTTAACTGAGTGAGCGGTCCTCGCCTTTGGCGCTGGATTAGTTCTCGTAGAGTCTCGCATAGATGAAAGAGCTTCAAATTCGAACGCTTCCGCGGCTGGATGTTTTTTCGGGATACGGTATGACTCCCCGCATATCCATAAATGGGAAATCAGAAATTGAGCGGGAGGTTCCGATGGTGAATTGGAGACGTGCTGACGATCTCGGCCGGGGAGTCCGGCGGGAACCGGCGGCAGTCGCGTTTCGCCCGTCCTCGATGGAGTTTTCGTCTGGCGCCTGTGGAACCGAATGCACGACTCTCGCGATCGTGGAGGGATTAAGAGTCGTGGAATCGCGGAGGATATTCGAGAGCGTACAACGAGGCGCTTCGACTTGGACATCCAGACCAGGCCGAGAGAACGCATCGCTGTCGAGCCGCGTTGGACTCCATCCCAAAGGGGCAAACAAGAAGGTCAGCCCGGGAAGTTCACTGACTGATTGAGCCGGAGGCGATGCCGACGTGGGGATAGAATCTATAGAAATCGCTCACGTGAACAACGATCGCACAAGTTCTGAGCAGTAGCCTAATTCCGAAGAGTTGCTCCTTGAGAGGACTTTCCAACGTCAATGACGAGTCTCTCGATCAGACCGATTCGAAGAATTGACAAGGAGCACTCAGAATCTTCAGTAGTCAGTGGGGAATGAAGATGGCCCAGTCCGAATCCGACCGATCACCCCGCACGAGACCCCATGATCATCCCATGGGGAGCCGAAATACACGAGCTTTTTCCGAACGCTCCATACATGGGAATGTTGACTAGTAATTGTGAGACCGGCGACTGGTCCGGGGCACAGATACGGGGATCGCTCAGTCGCACTTGAACTTCCAGCAAAGATCATCGATGTCCCTGTCTTCTCCTTCTTGTCGGAAAAATGCGCGTCGATTTTTCGTGATCATTCATCGACTAGAATCCGTCGACTGTGGAGTGGGGAAGCTTGTTGGGTTCATCGGTATCCGAAGCGTGCTCGCAATCGTACAGGCGGAATGATACAGTCCCTCGGTGAGCGCGTGTTTGCATGAGCCCCTTCGTCTCCTGAATAGAGCCTATCTAGGTGCGCGAACTATGCGCTGGTAGCGCTGACAATGGTGCGTGTCTGGGCTTGCAGTGTTGTGGCTCTTCGAGAAGATCGTCTGCTCGACGTTGCCTTTTCTAGAAACAGCCGGACTGCTGAAGGCTGCTGACGACTGGCAAAGACCGAGCAAGGCAGACAGCAGAGCTGCTGCAGCTCCAGCGCACTATTACCAACACCATCCAGCGAACCGTCGACACCATCCACCAACACTACTACTACTAGGACAACTACGGCGACGACAACAGCAACGACGACTGCTGCTGGATTTGGCTCTGACTGACTGCGGCTGCAATTACGGCCGCTCGTCGGTTCTGTTCGCTAAGTCGAGAGGTTTTTTTGGTGATTTTCGTCGGTCTGTCCACTGTTTATTCGTCTGGTCGGTCAGTCGTTCCTCTCTCGAAAGTTCCCATAGCCGTGCACTTCAGTAGGAGCCCAGAGCTCTCTCATCTTCCGCCGCTGATCGACTGCTCGACTGACGGAAAGACTGACTGACTGACCGACTGACTGACCGATCGAGCAAATATAAAGGTGGAGTGATATACCGAGCAACTGTGTCTCGACGTCCCAACAAAGAAATCCGAGAAATCCGGCGGTCCCAATGGCTCATCTGATCGGAGAGTGCGCAGCTCGACGGATCAAGTGATGGTTTTCTGTTTGAGTGGACTGATTTGGAATGATTGCAAGACTCGAGAGTGCGACACTTCGCATTCGTCGTTATCGCCACTTTTGCCGTCAAAACCAGAGTTTCGGTTAGACTTGAAACGTCGTACGATTGTACCGCGATCGGACGGCTGAACGGCACTTGGACCTGAGCTCATCCGAACCTCTTGGTACGATATCGAACGACGAGAGACCGACTCCAAGAAAACTTGCAACGGTGGCTGCTGCACGGGCAACAATAACAGTAACAGCGGGATCAGCGGCAGTCGCAGCTCGCAGCAACAGCTACCATAAAGGTTCGATCACAACTGTCTATAGCTATTCGCTGATTGCGGTGTGCTCATCGCATGAATCCGCTCGCGATGCCGAGTCGCTGACGAGTTCCCGACTCGAAAAACTCGGACCCCCTTCGAGGTGGTCATGGAGCGACGAAGCTCTCGGCTAACGACGAAACAACAGCACTACCGAAAATTCGAACGGCCAGAGAGAAATTCATCACAAACATTCGATTCGACGACGATAACAACAACAGCAACATTGAGAAGTGTGAGATCAACATCAACTCGACGAAGCCAACTTGGCCGAAGGTTTTGGCCGGTGCCACTCGACGTGGTGCTGATGGTGAAGAAACGGTTGTCATTCGTTCGAAATCAGCTCTGAATATTCCTCCTCGTCTCCCCATCGAACGGCTAGTGCTCGAGCTAGCTGTCCATCGGAGAATCCCTACAAAAATCACAGCGGTGGAGTTGTGCGTGCAAACGTGCGTGCATGCGTGCGCGTGCGTGATTGAGTGAGTGACTGCCTGCCTGAGGAGTGAGTGTGCGTGCCAGCGTGCGCGTGAGTGGGCAAGTGGGTGCGTGTCGCTCACTCGACCCGTCTCGATTACGAGCTCAATGTTGAGTGTGTTCTCTGTTCTCGCCGCTCTTCTGAGCTGCGGGGACCTGGTCCGTCAGTCGGGAATCGTCAGTTTGCCCCCGGATTCAGCACCGACTTCCACGAGTTCAACGGCGACGAGTTTGGCCGAAGTGATCGAAAACGAGAGCGACGCATCTTTCTGGTTCGGAGAACGGTGGCAATACACGCTGACCGTTCAGGTTGTGCAGATTTCGCAATGCGTGCTGACTTTCGACGGACCGGCGAGCTTCCACTGCAGCCCCGTGAACGGTACTCATGCGGAAGTCGTTTTCCACCCTGTCGACGTCGGCGATCTCTCCGCAAAACTCGTCCTGCCCGGGCGGGAGATTTTGCTCGAAGGCGTGGGTCTATCGAATCCCTTCCGTCCCCCAAAGCTGAGCTTCGAGCTACCTCGCGACGTAACGTTCGAACCGTGGGTGTATCTACACAATCCGCTGAGCACACCGGTGCGACTAAAAGAGGTGTATATGACGAACTCCATGTTCTCAGTACAAGTTCCACCGGGCACCAGTTGGACCATTCCGGCGCACACCACCAGGCCGGTGGCTCGTGTCAGTGTAGGTCTGGAGAGACGATTCGAAATTTCGTATCTTCGAGTGCGCAGTTTCAATGATGACCTGTCTCTGTATCTTCCTCTAAGACTCTCACCAGTCAACGCAGTGGAACCCACTCCGAGTGGTTTATTTTTCCCGGAGCAAAATCTAGATATCGGTGAGTACGAAAATACTTTCTACTTTCAATATTGATATTCGTTGGGATCAGCCTCAGCCTCTATTCCAGGATCTCTCTTCCGATGAGACTCGTCGGCTTGACGATTCTCGGAAAAGCCCCTCTCGCTTGTCCTGTGTATCGAATTATAGCTTTGCGGCGTAAATTACGCGGACGGTTCCGTATACGGTTAGAAATCGGATCGATAGGAAGTCGACCGACCAAACAAAACGTCGACCGTCACAGCGCTGGGCTTACAATCAGCGGCAAAAAGTATGAAGAAAAACAGAAACGTGGACATGGAGGCGCGCGATTTTCTGTCCTGACGTATCGGCATCCCGATGCTGTTCTTTCGTCGTTCGTCTCCGGATCTGGGAGGATTTTGGCGCGAATATTTCTCAGTCGGCGGCAGGCAACGGTTGTGCTTCTCTTCCGTTTCTTGTTTTCTCTCAGTGGAACATTTAGCTCACGATACGGTGATTGGTCGCTCGCGTTCGGTTTTCGGCGGCAACTGGGACGGACGGCTGCATTTTCCAGCCGCGGTCCTTCGAGCCGTGAAAGAATACGTCACCTCTTCGGGTGTATCGTCGGGGGAGGGGCAGAGGTTGGGGGAAAAGGGCTGATGAGGAGGAGAAAATCTTCACATGCCTTATCCCGATATGGAATTTATTCAAGCTCATAAAGGCTATTTGCTTGTTTGCTCCCCTATCTGGATAGTTCGCTTCTTCTTTTCCCCTTTCCGCCTCATGAGGTGCGAAGACGTGCTATCGATTCACCAATCGCGTTGTGAATCAACAGCTCGTGCCATATCTCTTGTCCTACCTTCCGTCGAACTCTTTTTTCCTCCTTCCACGCGGAACACAAAGCTCTTCCCGTTTCGACTTTCCTCGAAATCGATACCGTTGTCGTCAAACGGCACATGGTCAGTCGAGGGTTGGGTTCCTGTCGTGTCACTGACGATGCTGCGCTGGATGAGATTGCCTCCATAGACTGCAATGCCTGACATTCTCTGCGATCGTAGTTCACTCGGAAATATCTGGCTTCCTTCTTCTTGAATGTTCTCTGAGCAGTGTCAGCAATCATGGGAAGTATTCTGAGTTCACTGCAGGACGAAAATCAGCTGGCTGCAAAGCCAACTTAAGGCTCGTCGAGAATTAGCGACTTTTCGCCGCGACCTATCCCAGAAGAATTAGGAGCTATCTCGATCAAACCTATCCTAGCCATATAATTCAGTCTCGCCAATGGGGAGGAGGGATTGAGGGATCTTGACGAGCGAGAGTCGAAAATTCTCATTCTTCCACCGTAGAATCCGAGACCCTTGTCCACCTGAGCAAACGAACTGCGAAGATGAAATGTCAGCTGCGACGATTGCAGTTCAGAGAGTCCATCCATATATCGATGATGGATGGGGTGTGACTCGGGAGGAGAAAAACTGGATGAGCTCCGCAGAGACTGGACCCTCGACGCTCGGAGCTATCAGCGCCAGCGGAAGTGAATCAGAGAGATCGAGTAGGCATTCAATGGATTCACAGTCCTCGTTCAAACCCCTCCAATTGCATGAAAGCGGTTGAGGAAGCTCGAAAAGGTTCTTTCTTCGACCTTATCGTTGCGCCCTGCACTATCTCCAAACTGTCTGACCGACAATGACTATTAGTCTCTTCGGGTGCCTCGCTCTCCAGCTTGGCTTTCTGGTCGAATCCCAGTCCACGTGTATCAGGGTACGACTACGCCCGTACCGCGGGAAATCTCTCGGAACGCCCGATGTCCTGAGCCGATTCTCGGATGACTGAATCACAATTTCGATGTGACGCACTCATGAGTGACTTTGCCCCAGAAAGCAGAAAATAGCATCAGCGAGGCCTGTTTATTCAAATAAGCGAGTTATAGATAATTCTATATGAGAGCTCCTTTGATGGTGGAGTAGACGTACAGGAAGTTCCTCTTTTCTCCGCTGAGTCAAGCCCGTATGGCTTGTTTTCAATTCGGCGAGAGCGAGTGGGAATGTGCTGTGTTGTTTATGATAGACGGCGTTCCATATGTCATGTCTTGGCCGAGGGCTCCGCCGGAGGTTCTCCGTGGAGAGTCGTTCACCGTCAACGGCAACGGCGACGACGAAGACGACGATCGCGACCACGATCCCGCGTTGACGAACAATAACACGAGACAAAAGCTCAAGATCGTTTTGAATCAGTACGCTTCGAAACATTAGACGCGCTTTCTGAAGATTTCTCTCGAGTGACTAACGTTCTTCCGCTCGACTGATCCGCCGAAAAGGAGCTGTGCACGTTTCTTGCCACACTGGCCCACGGCGACGTGTTCGTCCGTCGGATTCGGTCAAAATTCACCGTATGCTCTGTGACTTCTCGGAAGTCCACCGTGCGATAGCCTGCGTATGTCGATAAGCAAATCTGGCAAAACGAGAAGCTTTCTGAAGCATTTCACGGTTTCGCCTCACCGAAGAGCGGTGGAAAATTCGGAAACGTCGAGATGCGAGATCGTTCATTCAGTTTCACCTCGCCTCGCGGAGAAACTCGACCCCCGAGAGCCCGCGCGCCTTTTGACGGAATCGCGTTTATGGGGATTCGCTCAAGCGGAATTCACGGTGCTTGGTCACGGGTCTAATTATTAGAACCCCCTCGCCTCAAGTTTTTTGATTATTCGCTTCTGGATTCTCCGCGAATTTTGTGCCACGGAGCTCCGTCTGATCGCGCGAGCAGCTATATCTGCCTTCGGATAGGTCCCTTTGATCTAGAATTCGTTGCCAGCTCCGGAGATACGCTAGCTCGTTATTCGATGTCTTTTGGAAGACGAGTCGATGCTGCATAATACGCTTGCATATTTGCTCTTGGGGCATCACGCGCAGGCTGTTCCCGGGCTAATATCTGCCGAGAAAGAGCCATCTCTTGATTTCCTTCGAGTCCTCGTGAGTCTCAGAGGAAATATTTCCCGGTTTGTTGACTCAGCATCAATCCGACACGGAAACGATCCCGCCGATGGAACTGATGCTTTTGCCGGCTATTACAGTCTGTATCGTTTGCGGATCAAGGAATGATACCTGATTACCATATGTTCGACAATAAATTATCCAAAGCACTCTTTTGCTTGCGTTATACTTTTCCTCGGTTCCGCATACGTCTTCTCGAGCAGGGATCGCTGGAACTTCGGAACCGCTCTTGGCTTCGATCGCGAAAGAATAGATACACACTACGAGAGGATCCGATAGTCATACCGGAGGTCGCGACCACCCGTCCGTTTTTCGATGGATTCTAAGTTTGGTGCGAATGATGATCTCCAGCCGTCAAATCATCTTCTACCCCTCTGTCTCCGCCTCTGATCAGGGAATCAATCAACGATGCAACTCTTCACAGAGACTCGAAGTCGACTGCTCCCATACACTGACTCACTCATCCGACAGCGGTCTGGCGCATGAGATAAGCATCTCGCTTATCCAGAGCAGTTTCTGGCCGAGGTGATTCCGCTGTCAGTGATCCCAGGTCGTCAGAAGCATCCGCATGTCAAGTCGTGACACTTAAAACCTCTCATATCGTGATGCAAATCATGAGTCTCATTGGGTATGAGATTTTTTTTAAATGGAGAACTGCATTAGATCGAACGTCCTACGCCCAAGAAACATCATATCTGCAGCTATGATTTCCGAGTTCAGGCCCTTCCCATTTCGGATAGGATGCCTGACAGCTTTGAATTGAGTTGTGATTTGACTTGGAGGAACGAAGTGCGACCTCCCCACGGAGTTTCCGCTTTTGCGCCTCATTAGCCCCTCAGGTTCGGAGCCTTTTGTGGAGCCTTCACCTCACGTTACGGTCCTCTCAGCTACCGATGAGCTGCATCGTTGAGGTTCTCGAGGCTCAGAACATGCGGGATACGGAAATCGAAACGAAGGCTCACGAATTGGTGTACCTAATTATTGATAGAATCTTCCGATGGTGTCGGGAAATTTATCGAGTTCTCCTAGATGCGCTATAGGTGCGCCTCCTCATTCCCTATGGACCCGCACTGTTGTGTCAGAGATCGTCCGAAGGATATCCTTGATACGGAGGATCGAATTCCTCTCAGCAGGACGGTCGACGGGATAAACAGCAATTTCGACTGGATCCCGGAGAGTCCCCGGTGAATCGGAATACGCGATTCTTAGTGGAGAGACGCAGCGCGGTGACCGTGGTGGCCGGGTCCAATTTCTCTTGTGAGCTTCGGATTCTTCGGTTTCTTCCTTCTCTAGATTTTTCTGTCCCCTCGCAGACGAGAAGACGGAACACGATGCTCTGCTCATGTGTCCATCTGTCTCTCACTCCGGTTGCGTCTGTTACACCCTTCCCCTCTCTCTCGAAATTCACCTTCCATGGCTCTGCCGCGGCGGCCGACTCTGGGAACATATCTGAACCTATGAAGCAGAACAGCCTTTCTCTGTAAGAGGCCTGCCGTTCCTGCCGCTAGAGGTGAAGCCATTGCTCGAAAGTCATCGGGTGTCCCTCACTTCCAAAGAGTCGTTAGCAGACGACAAAAACGGCACAGTCATATTTTCGACGCCGCGAAATAGGTTCTCGGGAGTTCCGCCGACGCAACGTCGCGTCGCTGCCGGCGTGCCAGTCGCGTGAAAGCGAGTGGAAGTCTATAGGCTCGCGCGCGAGCAACCGAACAGACCCAGCCCGCCAAGCGAGCGGACCCATGACAATATGATAAGTGCAGCTGTTGTTTGAAGGTCTCGTCCATCAAGCCAAGCACGGACATTTTTCGCTCGCGCTGGGCTCGGAATTCTCGCTCGAGAAAACGGTTCCGCAACACTTGATTTTTTTTTGAAAACAATAGCGATATCTATAAGGCGATGGTGCACTCAAATGTACCCATGAATTTCTATTAAAAAATTCCCAGGCTCCGTTGGTCGGAATAAATGTTGAGAGTTACAGATAAGGTTTTTCGGACTATTTACGGAATCATGCTCGTTCTTTCCGGCTTGGTGAATAGGACGACTCCGGAGACTCGATAGA